TCTATCATCAAAGTAGCAATTTACATCACCTTCAAATGTAAATATTAATGAGGAAGAACTGCTGTTAGAGCAAATTGGGAAAGCTGCAAATCGGGGTAACACGTTAATTATTGGAGATTTTAATTACCCGGACATAAATTGGGATAGAGGGACTAGTACTTCAGCAAGGGGAATCCGGTTTTTGAATGTGTTAAATGACACCTTTATGTCACAACTGGTACAAGCACCAACTAGAAAGGATACTTGTCTGGATCTCGTTATAACAAACAATGTTGATCTTTTAACCAACATTCACGTAGGGGAGCATTTGGGAAATTATGACCACAATATGGTAACTTTTGAAATAAACTCAAAAAAGCAAAATTAAAATGTATAATTTAAAAAAATCCAATTTTAATAAGATTAGGGCAGCTCTACAACATATCGACTGGCATAAATTCCTTAGTGATAAAAACACTGAGGAAAAATGGAAACTATTCAAACAAATATTAGAAAGGCACATTTCATAGTATGTACCATTGGGTAATAAATATAAAAGCAACAAATTAAAACCAATGTGGCTTAGTAGAGAAGTAAAACAAGAGATTAAAAATAAGAAAAGGGCATTTAAATCGGACAAATCAGAGGCATCCTATATAAGATATAAGGAAGCCAATAATACTTGCAAAAAGGCAATTAAAGTGGCTAAACTAGAAAATGAGAAATTGATAGCCAAAGAATGCAAAACCAACCCCCACATTTTTTTCAAGTACATCAATTCTAAAAAAAAAAAAAATGAAAGTGTAGGTACACTGAAAACAGAGATGGGTCTGTTAGTCAATGAAGACCAGAAAAAAAGGCAGAAATTTTAAATAACTATTTTTCTTCAGTATATATTAATGAGAGTCCTATGGCAAGAGAGAAGCAAATGATTGCTGCAACAAACTTGCACATAACTTGTGATTGGATAACTCGAGACAAGGTGCTACAGCTATTAAAGAAAATTAATGTAAATAAAGCTCCGGGGCCTGATGGTATCCACCCACGAGTACTTAAGGAGCTAAGTGGGGAAATAAGTGAACCTCTGTATTTAATTTTTCAAGATTCTTTTGTTTCAGGTATTGTACCGGAGGATTGGAGGAAGGCAGATGTTGTTCCTATATTTAAAAAGTGTTCAAAATCCTTGCCTGGAAATTATAGACCTGTGAGCTTAACTTCTGTGACTGGGAAGTTATTTGAACGGCTATTAAGGGATAATATTCAGGAATTCATTGGGAAGAACTGTGTTATTAGTAATAATCAGCATGGTTTTATGAAACACAGGTCATGTCAAACTAACCTAATTGCATTCTATGAAGAAGTAAGTGTCATGCGGTATCTCTTCCGGGTTCGGCACTTCTGCATTGCGGAGCCGACCCCGCCCCCTTCTGACGGGGCTCTGACAGAACTTAGGGAGACCGCGCCAGGGAGAAGGCGCTTGGTGATTGTGGGACCTACTTCCGGGTATACACGCCGGCTCCACAAGCTCTGACAAGCTGTCCCAGCCTTTGAGCCAATGCAAGGATTGCTGCATGCCATAGAGGATTATTGGAGAACGGATACTTTGCTAATTTACAAGTGGACTATTACTCTGAACTCTTGGAGGACAACTCACCTTAACCTTAAGTATATCTTTCAACTAGTGTCTGCAATATCATTTATTAATGAACCAATTTCTGCTTGCTCAAATCTTCTCTGCTTCAAGTTATTAATTATATGGAGGACAACTCCCATCATGCCTATTTACTATGAACTGTTCCTTGCTTTGCAAATACTCTCTGCTACCTACTTAATGTTCTATTGAAGATTATTCCCAGCAACCTAAAGAATCTTATTAAAAACTTCTCTGAGGAAATACTTATTAATGAACTTTGTATTGTTTGATAACCTGCACTTTCTTCTTATTGGATTATTGCCTATATGCAATTCATTTAAGTTTATCAATCATTAAAACGTTGTTTGATTCTCAAATTGCCAGCAATCCTTTCTTTT